GCACTTCTCGGCCGAGAACCTTTTACTGCATCGCTCTATCGGAAATGTAAAAATGCTTTGTCATCAGATCTATAAGTTGAGTGTTTAAATGCAGTTGTAATTTGCACTGGTGCCAACAATTTCCTTTGTCTGTTTCCTGAAAACTGATTATCTTCCACTCCACTTGTCTCCTTCCCCATTTTCAAATTGAGCAATTTAAGATAACTTTTAAAAAAGACTGCTTATATTTCTATATCTTATAGTGGAAAATCAGTGTAAAAATATATTGCTATTTTTATTGGACTATTTGAAGACATTGCTTCTGCAGCAGATTGAACATGGAAGGCCAGAAAGTCGGATTATTGCTTTGGCATAAACTTTTTAACTATACAGATGGCATTAATTGTAAATAATTAAATGAATGTGTTAAAGTTTCCAGTATCAGTGTTAACTAATGACGACATGGATTATTTTGAAAGGGAACATGCAATACATTTAGAACTTCAAAAAATTAAATGGTACCTTTTATGGAAGGTGAGCCCTTGGTCTATGTTAAGTTTTTGAGATTTATAAATTGTATATAGCCACAGGAAACTGTAATGAGAGCGAATACCTCAACCCATTAACTTTGGTAGTTGCTGAGAGACAGAAAAACTCCAGGGATTTGCACTGAGCTACTGTACAAAGCAGAGGCCAAAGCAGTTTTCTTATCAACCTGTGATTGCGCCAAACAGCTGTGATTTAAGATTAGGTATAAACCTAATGGTGATCACAGGGGTCATAATTCTCCCCATACCCCACCCCCACCTCCATAAAAATTATGGCCAAGCGCAACTCTTCCCTCAAGAGTTAATTGAGTCCCTTCCTCCCTACAACCACGAGACTGTTTGTAACTTCCCATTCACAGAAATCTAACTTCCCTCCCAAAGCAAACCTTCCCATTGTAGCTTCTACAATTTTGGTCTTTGTTCCTGGGTACCTCAAACAACAGATCTGTAGAATATTGGTCTTTGTCACTGGTTACACTCTGTTGTTATATCATATATTGCACAAGCATACAAATTTCAATCTAACTGATGAATTTAATAATTCAAATAGTTAAGGTATGAAGATGATGCCTTCTTGTTTCACAAGAGAGGTTCACTGATAAAGGCCCTTCTGATAATTTGATGTCATCCTTTCACAATACTATTCCATCTGTCTTGTCATGACTGCATCAAGCTAATTCTTAAATGAGTCGAGTTTCCTGGTCTTAACCAACCTTCCTGGTAATCCATTCCAGCTGTTAATTACGTGCTCTGAAAAGAAATGCTTGCTGGAGTCTGAGCTAACCTTACACTTTACAGCTCATTTTCTCTATCCCTTTAAACATCTTATATATCTTATGTATATAAGAACATAAGAATTAGGAGCAGGAGTAGGCTATTCGGCCCTTCGTGCCTGCTCCGCCATTCAATAAGATCATGGCTGATCTTCTCACCTAACTCTGATTACCTGCCCTATCCCCATATCCCCTAATCCCTCTATTTTTCAAGAATCTATCAGTCTCAGCCTTGAAAATGTTCAAGGACTGAGCATCTACAGCCTTCTGGGGTAGTGAATTCCATAAGTTCACTACCCTCTGAGTGAAGAAATGTTTCCTCAACTCTGTTCTAAGAGGCTGACCCTTAATTTTAAGACTGTGACCCCTGGTTATAGATTCTCCTACCAGGGGAAACAGTCCCTCTGTGTCTACTTTATCCAGCCCTTTAAGAATCTTATAAGTTTCAATAAGATCCCCCCTAATTCTTCTGTACTCTAGAGAATACAGCCCAAGTTTATTCAGCCTATCCTCATAGGTCAGTCCCCTCATCCCAGGAACTAACCGAGTGAATCTACGCTGCACCCCCTCTCGGGCAAGTATGTCCTTTTTTAAATAAGGAGACCAAAACTGCACACAATACTCTAGGTGCGGTCTCACCAAAGCCCTATACAGTTGCAGCAAGACTTCCCTACTCTTATATTCTAAACCTTTTGCAATGAACGCTAACATGCCGTTCGCCTTCTTAGTTGCTTGCTGCACCTGCAAACTAACTTTTTGGGACTGGTGTACAAGGACACCCAAATCCCTTTGAATACTAACACTATCTAACTTCTCCCCTTCCAGAAAATAATCTGTTCTTTTATTCTTGCTACCAAGGTGAATAATTTCACACTTGCTAACATTGAATTCCATCTGCCACCTACTTGCCCACTCCCCTCGCCTATCTATATCTTGTTGCAATCTTTTTGCATCATCCTGAGAGCTCACTCTGCTACCTAGTTTAGTATCATCCGCGAATTTAGACACATTACATTCAATGTCCTCGTCCAGATCATTGATGTAAATGGTAAATAGCTGAGGCCCAAGCACTGATCCTTGTGGCACTCCACTAGTTACATCCTGCCAATTCGAGAATGATCCGTTTATCACTACTCTCTGCTTTCTACCCGATAGCCACTCTTCTATCCATGTTAATATTTTCCCATTAATCCCGTGGGCCTTGATCTTGAGTAACAGCCTTTTGTGTGGCACCTTGTCAAATGCCTTCCTAAAATCCAAATATACCACATCTACTGGTTCCCCCTTATCCAACCTGCTGGATACATCCTCAAAAAATTCTAAAAGGTTAGTCAAGCATGACTTCCCTTTTGTAAAGCCATGTTGACTCTGCCTAATCTTTTTATGGTCTTCCAGGTATCCCATAACTACGTCTTTTATTAAGGACTCAAGAATTTTCCCTACAACTGACGTCAAACTAACTGGTCTATAGTTTTCCCTATTTTCTCTCCCACCCTTCTTAAATAGTGGAGTTACGTTTGCAATCTTCCAATCAATGGGAACTTTTCCAGTATCCACAGACTTTTGGAAGATTATAGACATGCCATCCACTATCTCAGTAGCCACCTCCTTTAAAACTCTCGGATGCAGGCCATCCGGTCCAGGGGATTTATCGGTTTTAAGACCCGACAATTTACCTAGAACCATCTCTTTACTAATGTTAATCTCCCTAAGTTGCTCGCTAACATTGTCTTCTTGGTCCTCTATTTTTGGTATGTTTCCAGTGTCTTCTACGGTGAAGACTGTAGAAAAATACTTGTTTAATGACTCTGCCATGTCTTTGTCCCCTATTATAATTCCTCCGGTCTCTGCCTGTAATGGACCCACATTCACCCTCGCTAGCCTTTTCCTCTTTATATATTTGTAAAAACTCTTGGAGTCTGTTTTTATGTTCTTTGCTAGTTTGCCCTCGTAATCTATTTTCTCCCTCTTGATCAATTTTTTGGTCCTCCTCTGTTGTTCCCTAAAGTTCTCCCAATCCTCGGGTTTACTACTCATCTTCGCTGTTTTATAGGCTTTTTCTTTTGATTTGATACTTTCCCTAACTGCTCTAGTTAGCCATGGCTGCACCACCTTTCCCATGGCATTCTTATTCCTCAAAGGAATATGTGCTCGTTGGGAATTTTGCACTATCTCCTTGAATGTCTGCCATTGCTGTTCTACCGTCAAATCTTAAAGTTTAGTCTCCCAGTTTATTCTGGCTAAATCCTCTCTCATACCAGCAAAGTTGGCTCGATTTAAATTGAAGACTTTTGCTTCAGACTTTACTTCCCTCTCTAACTTAACGCTAAATTCCATCATATTATGATCGCTTTGCCCTAGAGGAGCCTTAAGTTCCAGTTTGCTGATCAGCACTGTTTCATTACACAAAATGAGGTCTAATATGGCTTGTTCCCTGGTCGGCTCCTCAGCATATTGATCTAGAAAATTATCTCTAATACATTCTATAAACTCCTCTTCTATGTTACCTTTCCCAATTTGGTTGTCCCAGTCTATGTGCAGGTTAAAATCACCCACAATTAGTGTCTTTCCTTTGCTACATGCTCCACTAATCTCTTGATTTATACCTTGAGCGATACTTTGACCACTGTTTGGGGGTCTATAAACTACTCCCACTATAGTTTTCTGCCCCTTGAAGTTACGTATCTCTACCCATACTGACTCTACATCTTGCTTTTCAGATTTAAAATCTTTCCTCTCTACTGTTTTTATCCCATCCTTTATTAGCAGGGCCACTCCCCCTCCTCGTTTACCACATCGCCTATCTTTCCTATATACCACGTAGCCGGGAATATTCAGTTCCCATCCCTGATCACCCTGTAACCATGTCTCGGTGATGGCTACTAGATCATACCGGTTTGTCTCTATTTGTGCAACTAATTCATCTATCTTGTTACGAATGCTTTGTGCATTCAGATATAGCGCCCTTAATTCTGACTTCCGGCTATTAACCCTATTCACCAGCACTCTATCACTGTACTTCCTTTCCCTGCTTGACACACTTTGCTCTTCTCCCTTGTTAATCTGCTCTCTTGCTTTTGTTGATCTCAAGTTTAACTGTGGTGGACTATACTTTACTATGTTTTTACCTCCCCCCCTTAGTAGTTTAAAGCCCTTTCTACCTCCCTATTTATTCGCGTAGCCAGGACATTTGTCCCAGCCCTATTTAGGTGGAGCCCATTCCTTTGGAAAAGCTCCCATCTTCCCCAATACTCGTGCCAGTGGCCCATGAATTGGAATTCCTGCTCTCCGCACCACTCTTTTAGCCAGGCATTCAGATCTATGATCTTCTTTTGCCTGTACCAATTAGCTCCTGGCTCAGGTAACAGTCCCGATATCATCACTTTGGAAGTTCTATTCCTTAGTTTAATTCCCAATTCCCGGAACTCGCTCCTTAACTCGTCCCTACTGGTCCTACCAATGTCATTGGTCCCTATATGTACCATTACGATTGGATCCTCTCCCTCATGCCTCAAATTTATCTCCAGCCCGGCGGTGACATCCTTCACCCTGGCCCCAGGAAAACAACAGAGTCTTCTTGTCTCCCTGCTATGGCTACAGAAAACTGTATCAGTCCTCCCGACTGTCTCATCCCCAATAAGAATTACATTTTTAACCTCCTGCACAGGGGTGTTGGGGTCAGTTTGCCCATCTTCCTCACAGATTTCCTTGTCCACACAGGTTACCAATATTTCATACCTGTCAGACAAGACTAAAGTCTGGGATTCTTCAACTCCTCTCTTTCGGGAACACTTGCCTGCCCGCCTGATTGTCACCCAGTCATGTCCGTCACTGCTACATTCTTCTTCCTTGGGACTCAGGGGAGTGTCCGGCTCCAGGATAAAGCTGTCCAGGAAGTTTTCTCCATCCCTCATGCTGCGCAGCATCTCCACCTGAGACTCCAGCTCAGCTACTCTCAGCTGGAGCTCTCTGATTTCCAGACACTTGTGACAGACAAAGTCGCCCGGACTTAAGGCGCCCTCCATTGACTCCCACATGTGACAGACCTCGCAGTTTACCTGCCACACCATCTTCACAAACTTTATATAGATACAAAGATATATAGCCTGCCCCCACTTCCCCCTCTGCACCTAATTCCCACTCTCACCAAATTCCCTCACACTCTGGCCTCGCCTCACTCCAGACGTAGCTCACTCTCTGCTCGAGTGAGGCTCGCGCAGCTATCTCCTATTTATACTTTCTGGGTGCAAACCGTTTCTGATTTTCTCAGCAGTGATTTGGAATTAACGCCTAATCAAGTGATTAATCAATAAGTTAATTTAATCAATAAGTTATTTGTTATTGGCTAGGCTTAATTGGCTACAGCTGCTCCCTGTAAAGTTACCCCACAAGACCAATGTACCAATGGTATCAGCAATTTTAAATAACACAAGACTTAAAACAACTACAACAACTATTACAAGACTTGAATAACAACAACAACAAATTGGGTTATGTACTCATGATAGCAGTTTTCCCGACACTCACAGCAGCAATTCCCACTCTCACCAAATTCCCTCGCACTCTGGCCTCGTCTCACTCCGGACGTAGCTCCTCACTCTAAGGCCCCAACTGAGACATCTCTATTTCAGACTGAAAAGCCCTAATTTATTATAATCCTTGCATTTGATATAACACCCTTTTGACATTACTCTCTTTATAACTACCCTCCACTTAACCTTATTTTTAGGCTTGATTTCTACTGATATTAGTTTTTATTAAAATATGTCATGGTAAATTTATTTATTCTTTACGGTCACCTCTTGACTTAGTGCCATGACTGAAGACCAGTGGTCATAATTGTACCTCAAACTTTTTTATACCAGTTATATCATAAAGCTATTCTAGCTTCAAGACATAAATCAATGTTACTAAATTCTTTCTGTGTGAACTTAAGAAGCTCACTGAAAAACAGCTCTTGTCCACAGCTGTTAGAAGTTGATTCTGTTTGATATGTAAGTGTGATAGAAATTTGGAGATTAAGAATCATAAAATAAAACTTTAATCTTGCTGTTCTGTTTGATAAATGTCATTTTGCAATTTAAGAAAAACATTAAATGAAAGCACTGCTAATTCAAAGAGGCATTCCCATCTGTTGAAATGCATTGCTGGATACCAAAGCAGTGGGATTCCTCTTGAAGCTAAATTTAGTTTCTTTGACAATATGCACTTACTAGCAAGTGAATAATATAAAAATAATAATCCTTACATTTCACATAGTGACTTATCACGTTATCAAAATGTTTCATTTGGATTGCTGTGGATTGAGTGTGTATTCTGGAGGCAAATATCATGCCTCAAAATTGGTCATGTGAGATACGCATTACTCAGTTCTCTCAAAGAGATATCATTATTAATAACAATAATCCTTCCCATTTAATATAACACCTTTCACATCAGGATGACATCTCTAAATGCTTCACAGGATTTAGTGTAAAGAGTGATGAATGTGCATTTCAGAGATGGTCACAACAGTCAATTTACACACAATCTTGTACCACAAACAGCCATGAAGTCAATGGACATTTTTTTCATCAAGGGGATTGTTGGCCTGGGTACCAGGAGAAAATAATGCCATAGTATCATTACTGACTACCTGATTAGTGACCTCCATTTAACATCTAATCCGAAGGACAGCACCTCAAACAGTGCAATGCTTCCCCAGCACTACACCGGACTGTCAGCCTCAAATGCACTATTTTTGACCCAGATGAGAGAGTTCAGAGCAAAATCTCCTTCAATGATTGTCTCTGGCTGACGATATCTTCCTTTTGCTGGTTTAACTGCGGCTTAAAGTTTCATCTAAAAGATGCCATCTCCAACAATGCGGAGCTCCCCCAGCAATGGAGTGGAGTGTCAGCTTCTCTCTTAGGAACACCCATAACTGCACGAAAGTGACATTTCCACTTTGCACACCATCCATCCTTCTGGCATCTCCAAGCAAGACTGCCAATTAGTGTGGAATTATGAGCCTGTTTTTTTTCCTTTATAGTATAATTTATACAGACACATTTGATAATGGATCCTGTTTAATGTCACATTACAAATTGCCTTAATTTAACAAAGAAATAACCCTAAATCAAGTTTAGGTGTGAATAGCCCTTTAATAACCTTATTAATATCTATCTTGGAATACATTAGCTTATAAATAGCCCTGACCTTTTGAGGTAATACTTTCATTTTTTCTCACCTGTCTTGCAACATTTGTACAACACTTTATATTCTTTATTCTGTTTCCTACTGTATTTTTTCTCTGATTTCTATTTTTGCTTGCCTTTATCATTCAGCTACCTCTCATCATTTGTTTTATAACTTATTTAACATGGTTTAAAAAAACACTCCACTCTCTATTCATTTACTCAAAAGTGGCACATTGTGGCGCATTAAAATGCTGACCCACTACACTATAACATAGTGTGATATGGATTTCTTCCTTCCTCCAAATTTCAATGCCCGCTGAATAACATATGTGTGTATCCAGAGCAATAGTCCTTGCATTAATGTACACAGCAAGTCAATATAGCACAAAAGCAGTAGGTGAATAAGCTCATTTTCAGAGCATTACCTCTTTGGTAACTTATAGATTCCTGGTAATGATGCACTGTTTAGCAGAACATTTAGGAATCCCGCAATTGGAACTTCTTTATGCAATGTGCTGAATAAGCTGTCTGGGCATCTGTTGGCACTTTGTGCCCATGTTTTATCATGTATATTCTTCAATTTAATACTGTTATACTCTATACCGAATTTGTAAGAAATGCATTGGTATTTCTTGTTCAAGCAGTTTATTTCTTGGAAGAATAAGAGTGTCACTCAAGCAAGCACTGCCATGTGAAAAAGACAAGGCTCCTCTATTCGAGTTATTCTTTTCAATTGCTACAATGCAAGAGATATCACTTTTATTCCACCATGAAACATGGTCTTGTGCGTATTAATATATCATAAGTCAAATCAGAGACACCTCACCATACACAATTCATGAGTGTATCAGTTTCACTGACATCTTTGAGCATCAGGATGAGAGAAGATGCGTGAAGCTGTGGCAGCACGGTAGTAATAGACACTTCTTCAAATCAATATGGCTTGAGTAGAAGCTTTAGTTATAGAGATCCTATGGTCTGAGCGCTTACACAGTTTAAATGGCAAACGTGTTAAGTATACAGTATGCAAAACCATCCACTCATATCAATAATTCGATGGTACAAGATTGAAATTGTTACAAGTAACCATTGACGTTTAATAAATTATGCAGCAGAGGGGATTTTTGGAAATTCATGTCTTCAGAATATACATACAAGGCTTTTTGGAAATGTTTCCATAGGATACCTTGAATAATTTGCTGTGATTTTTAAAAATGTATTTAAATGACAAATCAAATTTTTGAAAAATGCATTTTAGGATCCTAATTTAGGTATTTCAAATGTGAACTGAGTCTTACATTGAGGTGGGTGCACTATTTTGACTGACCCATTCCACTCTATTTTCAGTATTGTAGAAATGAAGTTGTTGGGAAACATATAGAAAATATACACAACATGTAGTTTTCCTTTTGTGAAAACTGTTCATCAAGATTGCAACTTTTACCATTCTTTTGGAATGTTTGTTATTGTTTTCATCTCCATTTATACCTGAAAACCTCTGAGATAACATTCAGCCTGGGTCGTGATGACCAAATGAATGAAATCCCTTGGGTTTGTAGCGAGGCCTGCTCCCAGTCAGTTTATGTGCTGAGAGGTCTTAAATTAAATTACTTGCCAGACTCATGCGCTGACTTCCAATTAACAGTTTAAATAAGCAGGACATTCACCTCAGGCATTTTGACCAATTTAATGTGAATCTCCTGTTTTGCAGTCCAAAACCAAACTGCAAAAAGAGGTGTAACATGCACTCAAAATTCCAGTTAGAGTAAACGATCCCCCATCATTCATATTCCTGCAAGTTTATCACGAATCCATGTGTGACACATTGAGTAGTGTACTTAACCTAATGAACCATTGGGGTGCTCTTAGAGACATCTTTGAATGCGGTAATGACCTCAGAGCAATAGGTTGTTCCTTTGTTTGTAGAACGTTGCTGGTAAAGATTAACTGCTGAGATTGCATACACAGCAACATTCACTTTCACTTCTAATCAGTTATATTATGTAAAGCTTTTTGAGACTTTTATTTTTTACATATTTAATTACAATTTGTTGTATTTTAATAAATGACACGCAATTCGGTAGCAAGAGGGAAATAGAATAGCAGCTATGAACACCTCTTATTGTACAGTGGAGAACTGGTGTCTTATTGACTGCATTATTATTGAGACTGATATGAGGTGTGATAGTACGTTCAGGCATTGTTGGGCATTTCTTCCCTACGACAATGGTGCCTGGCTGTGAGAAGTCCTGTGATTTAATCTTTGGGAAGGAAGAGACATAGAGGAGTCCATTTTTGAGAGTCACTGTAAAAAAAATGCGTAAAGTGTAATTGTGTTTAATTCGTAAATTGTGTCTCATGATATAATTGTCTGTAAAAATGCAATCAACTCACCTGCGCTGTAAAATCAAACTCAGAAAGACATGGTCGCATTGACATGTATAAGCACTTCCAGTAAAACAATATGAATGTACAATGGTAATCTAAAATATAGAAGACAAGAGAGTGCTTATGGGATCAGTTAGGGAGATTGTTGAGGTGAAACAATTCTCATTAAGTATTCAGAACCAAAACATTGACCTGTGACATATACCATTTTCAGAAAAGGGCAGTGATCTTGGATTGTGCAATATTATTTATCAATAATAAACTTACATAAGATTTTTAAAAAATCTGATCAGATCTGACACTCTAACTACAAAGCTCAATGATAACCTGGGTTGGTGTGCTGAGGAAATTTGGATTTGCTCAGTTCTTTAGTCTAGATCTTAGTTTATCATGAGAGAATATCATTGAACTTGCATTTCATTTTTAACAAGTCCTGATAGACCTCCTCATTAGGGGAGTTCATATGGGCCCTCTCCAGTTTATTAATTTATTCCTTTAGCTCC